AACCTAATATAGTTCTACCACCTTCATTAGTCACTACAAATCAATAACCACCATGAATGTTTTTAAAATCTTCTATCTCTATACTAACATTTCCATTTAAATCTCCTCAAATAAAAAAAAAAACTTTTTTCATCAAGAGGTATCTTTTATATTAATTCTTCTAAGTCATTCCAAATTTTTAATTTTGAACACATTCAAACCTACGTGAGTAGTAAAAGCACTTATGATTAATAATCTTACCATCAATAGCAATCTTTAAAACTATAATTCCATCTCAAATTCTATTAATTTCTACAACATTATCCTTCAAACTCTTAACTATAATCACAATTATCTCATTTTTAGTACGACTCCTTCCTGAATGCCATTATTTAACCCTAAACTATCAATCTCTTTAGCCTTCTTTCCAACCCAATTAGTTTCATGAATACATAGAATATTTTATCTTTCTATGAATTATAATATTTATTAATTTTATTAATTTGCTTGTACCTATCATAATTCTAGTTTTATGGGCTACCTTTTTTTCCCACATATGTGAATGATATGAAAACCCTTGTTTATTTAACATTGTACCCGGACACCGGTTCAACGGACCTTACACACTTCTCACTATATTCAGGCTATACAACGCATCATTTCTAGGGAACGCCTTAGCATTAACACAAAGTATTAAAGAATTTATGTCATAATTATTCTACAAGTTTTACGCTAGCTTCCGACTACCTAACGTAACCCTCCCATTTTCTCACCCAGCACTTGGGACCTGACAACAGCAATGTTTAGCTCTTATAGAATTAGCTTCCATTTCAAAAGGATTATCCTCTAAGTATCCTAGATTTATGAAATAGTTTTGGTTTTAAGTTAAAAAAATTTTAACATGTTTTCATCAATAAATATAGCTGGCATTGGGAATTTAGTTATCAATGAAATTCATAATTAATACCCTCTCCGAAAACTCCTCAAAAACTATATAAAGAGGGGAATTAAAGTTCTATTAGAAAGCAAGGCAACAAGGGAAGAAAAACTAGCATGAAAGAGAAGGAGAATAAGATTAAGAAGCTAACAAAAAGTGAAATACTAAACTAAGGTTATTTTCTAGTTTGCTATTTTCATCATCATTAATCTCCTAAGCATTATTCGCTCTTTATCCCCTCCTGAAACCACATTAATTCTCACCTTAATACCCTTGATGGCCCATTCATTAAGGAACTAATTTGCCTACTTAAATGCAATAATAAATTATCTACACAAAACTTTCAAGGCATTAATTATCCCGTTGAGGCATTGTAAGAATTTTCACCACAATGATAGGCCAATATATTAAACTATCCTAAAAACAACATCCATCTCGGACTGAAAAGTGGTTCCACATGCATCATCCCCCCAAGTATGAACAAAAGCAAAGTGGAGCATATGGAACTTAACCACCCAAAAATAAAACATACTTGAATCACAATATTAATTGATTTATCAAGCTACGAAGTATGAACACTAAAAGATGTCGTAATTTGTTTAGATGGCAAAGCACCGATAGCCACATGAATAGTCGTCTAAGATAATATCCCAACAATCTATAGCTTTTTGGCACTTAATATACATATCTTTTTGCACTTAACCCCTTTGCATACATTATTTTTCAAGTAAACAATAAACAATAAGCTCAAGCTCTTTATCGAATGCTCATGTAAATAAACATAGGTGCATATCTCCCAATAATGCAAATATCTTGATTACCAAGTTTGTTTTGTTCGCATGTAATTCTTCCAATATGAGTGGAGGAATAATTGTAGCTTTCCAAATTTGCCTCCATGGTTTTGAAAGAGGGAGGAAAATTTTGTAGCTTTCCAAATTTGCCTTTAGGTTTTGAAAAATGGATAGAAGCGTGTGCTAATAGAAGATTGATTCTACCAAACAAAATATCTTATACTACAAAAATTTTCTCATAAAATTGGTTGAAGTTTGGAGCTTTCCTGCTTGTAATTCTATAAACTTATAATATCGAATATTATTTTTCAATAGCAGTCCTCTTTTATAATTCTCTTATAAAAAAGCTTCTTTTTTGCATCCAAATACAAGGTTACACAAATCAATTCATACTAACCTTTTTATGCCACCTCAGGTATGTTTAAATCAAGATCCCAATATGCATCTCACAATCCATCCAAAGCATTTTGTAAACATATTTTACTTTAAATGATCTCTAAAGTGCTACAACAACAACAACGACATCAAGCCTTTATCCCACTACATGGGGTCGGCTACATGAATCTTTTTTCTCGGTTAAGAGTCAAAATCTCATTTAATTTAAATAAAGAAAGGTCATGTCTAATATTTTTCTCTAACCAAGTCTTTTTAGGTCTATCACTACCTTTCTTAACAAAGGTTATATCTAATGCATCTACTCTCTTAATCGGGTCATCAGAAGGCAATCACTTTATGAAACCAAACCATCTAAGGCGACTCTCTCTAATCTTATCTGACAATGGAGCTACTCCAACCTTTTCACGTATAAGCTCGTATCTTGTCTCTAAGAGTAACCACTCATCCACCTGAGCATCCTACTCTCCACAACACTTAACTTAATATTATGCTTCTCTTTTAATGGCCAACATTCTGCACCATAAAGCATTGTAGGTCTAACCACCATCTTATAGAATTTTCCCTTAAGTTTGAGTGATACTTTTCTATCACACAACAAGTCCAATGCATTCATCCACTTCATCCATCCAAATTGAATTCTACTAATAATATCGTCAGCAAAAAGCATACACCATGGAACATCCTCTTGCAAATCTCTAGTAAGAACATCCATGACGAAAGCAAAAAAAAATGGGCTAAGGTTGATCCTTGATGTAATCCCACTTAAATTGGAAAATACTTGGTCAAACCACCTTGTGTTTGAACACAAGTAACAACTTCAGCATACATATCCCTAATAACTTGAATATAAGCATTATTAATCCCTTTCTTTTTTAGATTTCTCCATAGCACTTCTCTTGGAACTTTATCATATGCTTTCTCTAAATCAATAAATATCATATGAAGATCTTCCTTTTTCTCTCTTTACTTCTCCATCAAACCTCTCAATAAATGTATGGCTTCTATAGTAGACCTATCCGGCATGAATCCAGCTTGATTTTGAGAAACATTAGTATCATGTCGTAACACATGCTCCATAACTCTCTCCCATAGTTTTAAAGTATGACGCATCAACTTAATTCTTCTATAATTTGCACATCTTGTGCATCATCTTTATTTTTAAAGATAGTGATGTAGACAAAGGGGGGGTCAACACAAGTTGAGTTTTTCTTTTAATTTCTTGCCTTGTGTCTTTTCATCTTCCCCCTCTCTTTTGGGCTGTTTTCTAGTTCTATGAAGCCTTGGCTGATTTCGGTTTTGAGCTTTAGTTGTTGAATTTTTAGTTGGTGCAAGCTCATTAATATCTAGTAGAAGTGTAGCTCATTATGAGCTAATGTTTAGCTCTAAAGTTGGAGAAGTGTGCAAGCTATAAGGTGAGTGGAACTTGTCTTTTCCTCTTCTTCTTTACCTCTTGAGCTGCTGCCTTTTTCCTTCATTTATTTGCTGGATTGCCGTGGCCTTTATACCCCTTTTAAATGCTGCACCGTGGCTTTCCCTTGAAAACTACTATGACGTTTGGGGTTTCTCTGTGCTGATGCCGTGGCCTTTTTTCCCATTTAAATGATGCCTTGGTATTCCGTGGCTTTTTCTTGATATTGGCTCTACCATTTGGAATTCTCTATTGTTGATATTACCGTGGCTTTATATGGTTTGCTGCTGTTGGTTTTCCTATGCTGGAAACCGAAAGTTTGCCCTGAGTCCTGTGCTGGATATTTATGGCTATTTGGGCTGTTTAGTTACCCTCTCTTGCCTATATATAGTAGATGTTTTGGGCTTTTAAAATATGATATATGATGTGATTTTTGGAGATAAAACCTGCGGGTTTGTTGTTTGGAAAAGCTTGCGAGCTTTGTCCAACTTCCCTCTTTCCTTCCCTCTTTGAGAAAGCTTGCGAGCTTGTCTCCACTTCGTCTTGGCTTCTAACCTCTTTCTTCTCGTCGCAAGTATCCACCTCACATGTATCCTTCTTCTCAAAGAAATGCAACTTTAGGTGTTTGTCTTGTTTGAGTCATTTGTAAGTGTCTTGTAAGAGTCAAGTTTGTAAGTCTTTTCTTTATATGATATAAAAGTTTATGTTTGTTTTAATTTGTCTAGTTTTGTGAGTTCTTGTAATCTTTTATTCTCTAGAAAAAGAGTAATTTTTTTTGTGATCAAAAATTTGGGTTTTGATTGCATCAGATAGAAATCAACACTCTCATTCCCCGCACATCTGGCATCTTTTAAGTCTTCAAAATGATATTAAAAATTTTGGTAAGCCAAGAAATTCATTCATCCCTTAAACATTTCAATACCTCTATTGGAATATCATCCGATCCAACAATTTTTTCACACTTCATTTTCTTTAAAGTCTCCGTCACTTCATTTTTAGTAATGCGCCGATAAAAAAAAATATCTATTTTCATTTAGAGTATTAAAGTCAGTCGCACTTCACAATCTTTATTGAAAGATCTCTGAAATACTCACAAAACTAAACTGAACTTCACACAAACCCTTCGTTCTGTCACTTTTCTTATTTTGTCAACAATTATAAGACTTGGTTTGCATCATATATTGACGTAATAAAAGTATCAGATTAACCCAAATTTGGCTGACAACTTCAATGCTAGGTTACTCAAAAATTCTACAGGAAAATTTAGTAGTGCAATGGTCTAAGCTTCCTTAAAATGGTATTATGTTATAAAAACATGAACATGTCAGGTGAACTAATTTTTACCGGCTGAGAGTGTATTAAGTAGGCTATTTTAACCCAACTTTGACTTTGAAGTATGTTATATCCGAAAATATATTCTACATTGTCTACTTCAATCTTGGACAATCTTTTACATTAGAATTGCCTCCCGGAGCAATTTGATAGCTTTAAAATTGCAGGACAGAGGTGCCTAACTACCTAGCGGTGAGGAGTGAGGAGTCACCAGCAGAGATATGACCGGCGCTGGAGATATCCCACAGTCCAGGCCAGGAGTCCTTGCAATCAGCGCGACGCTGAAGGAGCAGCTCCTGCGTGCTCTCCGCGTATATCCAAACGTGAACAGCCCGGTGGTAGTCTCCGTCCCTGTGCACAAGTCCCCTGCTCAAAATCACGAACAATCGCTCAGTCGGGGTTTTTTAAGAAAAACGTAAAACGAGACTAAGGTAGACAAATAGAAAATATCTGGTCGATAAGAGAAGGATCGGGCCTTGGCTTGGAGACCCCAGTCTTCTCGCCGGTCTTCGTGAGGACGTCGAGGAGCTCATCGTCTTGCAAATGCAGTGCAACCTCCGGCGGCATCGATGGAGATAAATAACCTACGTTCAGGGACAAGAGAGAGATGCAATTTGAGATTTCTCCACTTTGAGCGTCAAAAGAGCGAAGAAAATGGGAATTCCCCGGCGCCAAGGGCTAGCGGCAAACCTTGGTAATTTATGGCTACGTTTATTTTGGGACCAGGTTCGCTTTATCACCCTTAGTGGTTAAGGATATTTAAGAAAAACTTCACAAAACGAATATTTGTATATTCATTTCTGAATTTTATATTTACTTAAACAATATTCCAATTATTATGCAACTTAATTTGATTTATTGGTTATGAACTTTGGTTATTAATTAAAAGGTCTTGAATTCAATTTTTATAAATTTGATGTACATGAAATCATCTTAATTGGCTTAAATACTCCAAAGTATATATTCTAATGATTAAATCACATTTAAATATATACATACAAATAAATTTTACTTTAAAATATTTAATATTAATAATATTTTATGTGTAATTTTAAATTATATATATAATATATATACATTGTGTTAGAGATGTTAATATACAAAAAAATTTCATAGTATTGATGTATTGCTAAATGATGCATCAATGAATCACCAATTTGGATGTAATATAAATAAATATATTTCAATATTAAATTCAAATTATTTGATTTTTTATATTAACAAACTAATATAAAAATTAGCATTTCGATAACACTTGTTGCGGACTAGAACATTAACGGCGATAGAGAGATATAGAGTTTAGTGTCATACTTTTGTATGAAGATCAACATACAAACAAATAAAAAGAGATGGGTGCAATGTTCGTAAGAGACATCAAGATTTTTACTTGGAAAATTCATAAAAGGGGAAAAACCATGAGATCTGACACGGTTAAAATGATTCCACTAGTGTTTATAGTTGATTACAAATGGTGCCCATCCTCAAGGGGAAGGTCTTGGCTCAATGTATCATATAAAGTACATTACATAGTTGGGGTTGGAAGAATCAAATGATAAGGGAGTTATTTTCAAAATAAGTTTGAGCAATTCATTTGGTTGACAGGAGGATGGAAGGATCGTAGTCAGGGGGCCACGAAAGTGGGTGGGACCATAGTCGGCGAGCGACAGAGGCCGAAGGGACCTTACTCGTCTAACACAGTGGTCGAAGGGACCGTAGTCGGCAGGCAACATTGGTTGGAGGAACCATAATTGACAGGCAATGGTGGTCAAAGGGACAGTGATCGACGAGTAATGGAAATTGGTGATGAACGATCTGGTGGTGGTCCGGCGACCGGCGATAGTCGGGCGGAAGTCTGCCAGCCGTCGGCCGCTGGACGGTTGATGGAAGTCGGCGGTGGTCTAATGATGATCATGTGATGCCCATAATCTAATTTGGAAGAATTATTCTTTTAATCTTTTAATAAATGGTAATCATAACTATCTAATATCATTTATCAATAATAACAGAGTCGTCACGATTTACTAGAACTAGGTAGCTTTGTTTGTTGTTTATTAAAAGATTAAAATAATAATGCTTCTAAATTAGATTATGGGGCATCGCAAATCAAGCGAAAGTTTGATGGAGGTCGGTAATTGAATTGTGGTCTGATGGCTGTCAGCGGCCGGGCGGTGGTCCGATGATAGTCGACTAGAGTTCGCCAGCGGTGGTGCTTAGGGGGAGCTCTAGATCCTTGAAGCCTATGTGTTCTCTAGAATCTCCAACAAAAGGTTTAAACCTCAAGCCCCCCTTTAGTGGGAAGTGATGGTCTATTTATAGATTTTTAAGAGTTGCATGCCATATAAATATGGATAAGATCTACGGCAAATTCGGAGTGTTCCATCGAATGGCCCATGTTGATCCCCTTAATCGTAAAGCGTCTGTCAAGTATTTATCTGCCCAAATGATGTTAGAATGAAGTGATCTTGGGCTCGTTGGATTCATCTCATTGAGCCCCTCATTGATTATAAGCATGTTATATTTTAATATCATTTGGTCATCCAATATATGTTTAGAAGCTTCAAAATGTGCTTTGGCCACCAATTTGGACCCATTTATGATCGAATTGAATCGAGTTTGGTGTCATTGGGTACGTCTCTTTGAAATGTTCTGTTGGATTGTAAGTTTATTGAAATCAGAGTTTGGATGGTCCCAATATTTATTTTAGGAGTTTTTAGCTTGGATGTGCCTTGAGATTCGTATCCGATCTATGCGGTTTTTTTAACGTCTCAGGACTAACCCAATTATACCAAAAGTGTTCTAATTAGAATAAAAAAGTTGGCAAATCAAACACTTGAAGAGTAATTAGAAGCTTTGTGATGCTGTTTTATAGATGGAATAATGTATGGATCTCATATGTTTATAATCAAAACGAGCATATCTATGATGGGAATCTAATTTGTCATGAGCTTGATCCATATGGCTCATGTACAACTTGAGGTTCGGCAATTGCCTCTCTCTTATCATTCATTTCTTCCTGATTGCACGTGTGAGATCACAAATATCAAAGATAAACCAAATTGGCCTTAGGCTCTTCCTCCATTTTGATCCCAAATCCCTAACTCCCCTTTCATGTAATCCCTCCCTTCCTAACTTCTCCTCCTCATAAGTGCAATCATGACTAGTGGATATAATAACGAGCAACGACCAATGGCATCCACCTTTGTCTTCCTCTATAAGTTAATGTTTCATTCCTCTCATTTCATTCTCATCAATTACTATATCTTAATTATACCTAACCCATTTTTTTTCTTAAGAATAAACAATAACCTCAAGGCTTAATAACTTCATCAACATGGATTAGTCATTTGATTTGAATCTACCATCAACAACAATCTTAAGGCTGTTTTACCATCATAAATCCATTTAACATATATATAATATTTAAAATTATCATTTTCTAGCACTTACCTGAAAAGATTGTCATCAAAATCCAGCTTCAACGTACTCATATTGTCATTAGTGATTTAAACAGAAGCATTTACAACTGGTATAAATATTTTGATACAAAGGAGATATAATATATCTTCAAGAAATCATAGCCAACTTGTTGTAAAGCTCTTGGATCTAATGGAATGATTAAAAATCCAAAACATATAAGTAAATAGCTCAAATTAATAGCAACATAAATAATCATAGCTACTATAAAATCCAAATAATAAAAGTAACTAAACATGTTTTATTTCATCAAAATGCATACATATACAATAATCCATCTTATCAATCAGTTTACACATCAAAATAATTAAGAAATGGATTACAAAAAAAATACATTAGTCTTTTAAATCTAACAGATCATGCCTCTATCACTTTTCTACTCCATTGGGTCTTTACATGATTCTAAAATAGTAGAGTATTAATAGAGTGGAATTTTTCATATATCAGAACATCTTCAATGTCGTGCTACGAACAATGCAAATCCAAATACAGCAGTAACTATATTATAATATCAATGCAATATTCAAATAATGCAGAATTGTCACAAAAATCACATTGCTTGTGTGACGTTATACTCACTATTTTTTTTTTTTTTCATTCAAATTCTAACTTCATAGGGGTATGTATACACATGAACATTTTAAGACTTTTATAAAAATATTGCAATTGTCAGAAAAGTCTCAATATGATTATAAACTAAAAAATTGCATAGAAAAGCAAACCTATAAAAATCTGATTCTATATAGTCAAAATGTTTGGAATAAAAAGTATGATGACATATTAACAGTTATATGGTGAAAACATCATAAAACTTAAAAAAAAAAAGTATCCATAAATTTTAATAAAATTAGGACTTTTGAAGTCTATCTCGTGCTCTACAAAATCTCTAATTGGCCTGACATACAAAACCTGAGATTCAGCATCCAAAATCTCCTCCTCTCATTCTCTCTTCTTTTTTCTCCTCCTCCCTTCTCCAATAATGGTTGGGTGGGTTGAGTTTTTGCAATTGGTTAAAGATATTTACATTTTGAAATTTGCCAATCCAGCTCGACAACGCGGCGCTAGCCTTCTCTTGCTTATGCATTCCTATAAAATATTCCATATTCGCCCATAATCTTACCATTGGAGAACTTGGAGCCACGACAATGCAATTCACCACCGTAGCGCATGCTCAAATCCTTTCCCTTACTTGAGAGCTCAATGATGTAGAGCCACTCAACGCAACGCCGCGATGCTCCTAGAATTACTTTGATGACTTCAAATTTCACTTTTTCAACCCAATTCTTGACCTACTTGAGGTTTTCTTAAACATTATTGGACTTATAATTACTAATCAAATGACAATCATTAGCAAAAAATATATAATTTTCGGAACAACGAATATTACACTTTTATTGAAACACAATGATGCTTGTAGGTATCAAGCTTCCTCAAGAATGTTATGGCATTTGGAACTGGTCATTTCCATGAAGATAACATTTTATTTAGGTTTAAGGTTTGTTTAAACTTTTAAGTTTCAATAGATACTTTATTATAAATACTTCTATACATCTGGATACCCAAAGAAAACATGTCTAATGGACCATCTAGAATATTTGATTAGATATTTTATAATAGACACATGTAACATATTATGAATATCTTGAAATTGATAAATCATGTAAAATGAAGATAAGTGCATGCATAGAAATTTTTAGGAATCTAACAACTAATTTTAAATGTTTTTTAAACATATGATATAGAGAGATATAACAAAGACTTTTAATGAGCTCGTAAAGTTGAATTTTCTTAAAAGTAGCTCAATATGAAACTCATATTAAGGTTTTTATTAAAGACATGAGGTTATATTGAGAGTGGACCTATTATCGGTTCGACAACATTGGATGCCTAACTAATGAATATTAAATGTCATTGTTTGAAATGTTATGGCAATTTTTTTAAACACATGACGATGTCATTGTCCATCTCCATTTAAAAGGGCTCACAAAATATTATCATGTCTGGCATGCTCATAGTGAATCATTGAGTAGGAGAAGTGTTACAGAATCAACTCCATTGAAAGTCTTTGAGCCTAAATGTTTCATTGATATGATAAAAGATGTTTAGGATGCTCAAGTTTAAGATGTTGATATAAGTGACGTCTATATGTCTAAAATCTAAGAAGTAAAGATTATGGTAAAATCTTATAATTTAATAACAAACACCAACAAACTTTTATGGCATGGCTATAAGTGTCATTTAG